TTGTTGTGTCTCCTCCTCTCTAATGACTGCCCTGGGCTGCCTGATCCTGCCTGCTGCTCGCTGGGAGCTGAAGCCGCACATTTTGAGTGCGAGAAGGAATTCGGCGGTTGCTTTCTGCCTTTTGACACGGCCTGATGCTCGTGCCGGCTCCTCGGGAAGCCCTGGCTGTCTGCCTGCGCTAGTTCAGCTGCTGCTTCTCAGCTGAGATGTGTTTTCTGGCATCTTCTCTGAATTGCCTCCCCCCTCCACCTTAATTTTGATTTCTTTGTATCAGCAGTCCCTTACGGGAAATAACAGTCGTCTCTCTTGATGGATGTGTTTCATTTCCAGCCTTCCTCTCTGTATTGCGACTGCGACACATCTGCTACATGGGCACGGCCTTTAACTTCCACTGCTTGTGCCTTAGCACGCTGCTGCTCGATGCTTTTGCACGTAATGCGTTGACCAGACGGGGCTGCGTTTCGAGCAGGCTGATCGAACAATAAATCGTATCATCCTGGTTGCAGTCTTCACCTCCTCTTAGTGTCTAAAGGGGTTGCTCAGGTGTGTCTTGTTCTTGATCGAATAAGTGTAAAATTAGATCCAGACCTCCTTCGGGGGGTGTGCGACTCGTCAGAATTTCACAGCTTTCTACCGGATTACGCCGGGTTAGTGTTAAATGTCAATTTTGCAAAGGCTGCTGTCAGCTCAGGAGTTTAAAAACAAAAGAACAAATCCAAAAAAAAACCCAACAGCAACGATTGTAAACTGCTGGTCCAGCGCTTTTGCAGAACCGTGCTTTGAAAGCTCGGCCTGTTTGATTGCAATTTCTGCCGCCCTGGTTGAGAGTGAGTGGCAAACTGCAAGTTTAGTGTGTTGCGTTTTTGGAGGGGTCATGCTGGTACACCCTCCAGCTTACGTGGTGTTTATATTCTAATGTATTTTTAGTTGCAGTCACATTGTATATCTCCTCGTAAACACTTTAATAAAGCGAAGCTTTATTAAAGGGACACCATGCAGCACCATCTCTGACTGGAGAAAGAAGTCCAGATAAATCTACCAGTTGTTTGCTTTGACTTCTCTAGAGCATCATAAAGCATCACTTACAATTTATAAATATATGTGTGTGTGTGTGTATACATCTGTCTTACAAAGAAGCCTTCTTTATTAGATCTTAAACGAGGCTTTTCCTGGATGATTTTTTAACTCCTGACATCACTTGCGTTTCCCTGATGACATCTAGAGAGGCTGTGGGCTGGAGAAGCTGAGGGAGCTGCTCTGATCCCAACCCTGCACCATTTTGTGAGTTCAGACGCGCCGATGAGGCCATCGAGGCTGACGAACCTGGTAACGATGAGGGTTTCCTTCGTGAGCGGGAGCCCTCCTGCCAGCCTGGGTTGTGCTTTGCTTACTGTGCGAGTGATCAAGCGTAGCTAAATGGGGGGTGAGGGGCCTAAAAAAAGGCCTGAACACCAATTTGTTGACGCAATGTGTTGCGTAAGAGGAGAAATGGGTTATCTCGGGCAGGTTTACGCTCATCTGGCGCAGTAGAGCTAAAACTCAAAAGTCTTTTTCTGTGTCGGACAGTAGACGTGCAGAGGGTTTCCAGGAGTAAATTCATCCCTGTCTTGGGGGGCGTCAGCATGGTGGTGGGGATGGACGAGCCGGTCGTGGCTGTGAATAGAGAAGCAGATGAAAAAAAGGGACGTTGAATCGGAGATGAGAATTGCTGAATGCTACAACTGAAGCGTTCATTTCTGAGGCTCCGGAGGAGCTCAGGCGTTGGATAGGGTCGACTCAAAGCCGTGCGCAGATGAGAAGAGGAACTGAAGGCAGCAGGTCAAGCGTGCGGGAAGCGCACTACAAAACCCAGGCAGGAGCTGGAGGCAGGGCAGAAAGCTGGGGTTTCGTCCCGGGGTTCCTCTTCCGGAGCCGCTCACCACGTTTCTGAACACACCCTCATTAAGCTACACCAAATCGGATAAGAATCATTTCAATTAGCTTGTTAAGTGTTGAAACTTCCCGCAGCAGAGCTCCTGTTCCCCGCAAACCTGAGTGCTGTCTCTCATGGCTGTATAACCCCCGAAGCTGGAGTTAAATCAGTTTTTGCAAGGCCATCTGTCAGCGTGTTTGAGATGAGCGCAGCCGAGAGCAGTGCATCGAGCAGCCAGTGGAAGATTTTTTCATTTTCTGCCTAGACAAGTCGATTTTATAAAGTGTTTTTTGGTTTGGTTTTTTTTTTTGAGGGTGGGGAGGGTTTTGCTGGTGATGCTCTTGTCCACTTGAAGCGTTGTTTCTCCTGGAGATCCGCAATTGCTCACCTCTAGTGCCTTTCCTTCGTGCAGGCGGTTGGTGTTGATTCCACATTTGGTACGTGTACAGCAGCAGACACCTAAAAGCTGGGAATGAAAGCGGCTTGTGGTAATTATCACAAAATTAAAGATAATCTCCTGCTCTGGAATTGTGACAAAGTGCAGAAAAGAGATTAGTGCGGTAGGAGAGCGGTCGCAGCCGTGGCGGGGAGAGCGTAGTCTCCCTGGCCTGGGGCCCTCTTGGCCGTGTTGTGTTCCCAGTGATTTCCAGTGTTCAACCCAGAGCATCATTTGTCCCTTTGGGTTCCTCTGTGGTCTTGAGTTGCTGTTCCAGCTTGTACCCTGAAAGTTCGTTAGCTAAATGCTGACTTAGTGGTGCCATATCTCCTGCTCCCCTGGCCGTTGTGGGGCTTCTTGTTGAATGATCATAAACTTACGTTGTCTTAGGCCAAAGAATTAGTTTTTCAGCACAAAAACTGATGCGGGGTTTGAGCTAGCGGTGGTCCCCTGAGCTGCACGCTGGTGCAGTCCCAAGGAGCTGGAGGGAGCGATGGCATTTCCCATCACCCGTGTAAGCGACGGCCCCTTGGCTGAGGGGCGTGCAGCCCAGGTGGGTGATGGAGAGGAGAGGATGAGGGCTCCTGCTCTGCTTGCCTCCCGCCCTCCTGTTTGAGATGGGGTTGTGTGATGGAGGGAGCAAGATTTCAGACCTTTGCTGCAGTCCCGTGATTCTGTTCCTGATGCGAAACTTGGGCACTAGAGAGCACAATTTAAAACAAAACAGGTAAATCTTCCTGTGCCACCACACCTTCGCACATGCAGGCCAAGCAGTTGGGCTGGAGGGGGTTGCACTGCAGGCAGTTCAGAATGCCACATTGACAAGACCAGTTTTGTCCAGTTTATGGAGACCACGACAGTGAGATGACCTTGGCGCTTCTGATTGAGAGCCGTTTCACCTCCCCTGTGACCACCAAGGGGTTTTTGTTGGGCTTGTTGTTTTTTTTGCTTCCTAGTGTCTGAAATATTTCCTGAAATATGGTGGAATCGCGCTGTGTCCCAGCACTGTTGCCATCTGCAGAGCATCGTGCTCCTGTTAGGCCCAAATTCTTGCTCTGGCTCCTTTTAAAACAAACCCTGAAGCACCTCTATATGTATTCGAGGAGGCTGAGCAGTTACCCCAGCTAAACCATTGTCGTTCCTCCTTAGCCACATGAAGGAGATGCTGAAGCAGCAGCATGTTGTGCTGGATCCTCTGGGGCTTTTCCTGCTCTCCAGCCAGGAGGGTTGGATGTCTCGCACTCTCCCTGGAGAGGGACCGCTCCTCCCAGCTTGAGTGTAGATATCCCCCTTGAGTCAGAGGACTCGCGCACCAGCAGGTGGTTGTGTAATCCGCCTGTTGCTCTCACGTGGGGAAAAGTTGAGGGCTTGGAAGAGCCTTTCTTCTTCAGAGCCAAAACTGAAGCCGTGCTCTGTGGCCTCTTGCGAAATGAAGCCCTTTCTAAAGGATTGTGCATTGCTTAATGATCTGTGCTTGTAGGAGCACTTCAGACAGGGGCAGGGAGCAGCAGACTCATACCTGGAAACAGATGGTCTGAAATCTATTGCTTGGGTTTGCGTTCTTCCCTCCTAATAGCTGGGCTCTGCGTACAGAGGTGCGTGGGGGAGGCTGGGGAGCTGCCTTGGCAGGGAGTGTTGTGCGGCCGGGATGGGGCGCGGAGCTCTTCTCCAGCAGCTCTTGGTCCTTGTTCGTGGCGGCTCTCTGGAGTCAGCTGGGCTGGAGCTTGTGGTCGTCTGAAATCTATTGCTTGGGTTTGCGTTCTTCCCTCCTAATAGCTGGGCTCTGCGTACAGAGGTGCGTGGGGGAGGCTGGGGAGCTGCCTTGGCAGGGAGTGTTGTGCGGCCGGGATGGGGCGCGGAGCTCTTCTCCAGCAGCTCTTGGTCCTTGTTCGTGGCGGCTCTCTGGAGTCAGCTGGGCTGGAGCTTGTGGTCCCACGCGCGAGGCCCTGCAGGTTACGCCTCCCGCCGCCGGCGGCAGAGGAGCTTGTCCTCGCTGTTGCCTAAAAACGAGGAGCTCCTCGCAAACTTGGGCTCATGCGAGGAAATAGAAAATGGCCTCGTGTTAGGGGAGGCTTTGGGCCCATGTTTCCAACTCTGATGATATATCTGAAAGCTTCAGGCAAAATCCTCGTTTCTCACCATTCACTGTCATGGAGTTAACGGTGGCTTCTCCCAAAGGCGGTGGTAGAGATAAATGGTGCATTCATTTTTGTGATATATTTGGACATCAGGTTCTATAAATAGATTCAATTATCAATATGGTTTGTCAAGTGCTTTCTGCCTGGCTGGAAAGCAGTTTCATAAGTGTCTCTCTGGGCTTCTGTACGTAACCAAATCTTCAGTGTAGTGTGGACCTATTACTTAACGGTGCAGCAGGGATTTACGAGAACACTCTGCTGAGGGCTCTAGGAAACATTGTTGCTAGGAAAATTGTGCATCTTTGTGCTTCTGAATATGAAATTGCTTGGGTGACCCCTGTAACTTCAGCCTCCTGCACTACTGAAACTGAAAACTGAGCAAAACCAGCTACTTTAGGGGCTTTCCAGCTTGCTTGAAAGAACAAAGCATTAGGCTATTTTCTCGGTGTTTGTTGGTTGTTTTTTCTTCTCTGACGTCTCTACTTTTACTGATGCTCTTCCCTTCTCTCCCCAGGTCTGGCACCAAAGAAGGCAGCCATCACCGAGGTGAGATGTGTAAAGCTGGCCTTGAAAATCCCATCTTGAGAAATGAGAACACAGAGCTCTAGAAGACATTTCTGCCTGACTTTTTTGAGCAGAGATGGATTTCAAAACACATTTAAGATTACTGAAAATTTGATACCTGTTATTTGGGAGAAAGAAAATTAGTGGCAGGTCTCTGGACTCCCTGTGTTGGCATCACCACAGCCACAGAGGGGATGTGAAAGGATAATGCCCACCACGTGGCCAATTTTAGCTCTGATCCGTGGTGTCTGTAAGCCAGTGGCTGAGGTGCCCTCTTCCACCCCAGAACCTGAAGGTGATAAATGGAGAGTTCATGTGTTGGGCATCTCCAGGGTTCTGCGTTGGGTCTCGCCCGCTCCTGGGAGCCAGTCAAGGAGGCTGTAATTTGTGAAGCCATAAAACAAGGGAATGTCTTGAGGGACTGATCTTCTCTTCACACATAATCCAGGTCGCAGGTTGCTGAATCACTGTTACCTTCTGGAGGAAAACTCTTCACAGTTGGCAGCAGGGAATCTAGTAGGAGGATCCGTGCCTGAAAGCTGTTCCCTGAAGCCCACACTTTTGGTTTAGGGCATCATGTTCAACTGATTCTTGTTTGATCTGATTTTCTGACATACCTCTTTACATTACTCACCTGGGATGATGAGCATTTATGTACATGAATAGCAAAATCTTTCCGTGAAACTGCCAGGAATGTGACACTTGATTCTTTTTTACCTTCCCAAAAATATGCGTAGTAGGAAGCTCAACTTCTGTTAAAGTTGCTTGCTTTGTTCAATCCACGAATAGCCCCATTTTTTCTTGCCCTGGGAACACAGTCAGAGGTAGAGCAAGAGTTACTGCATTTCATATGAGGGCAATCTCTTAACCAATACCTGTGCCTGTTAATCACTTTGAGAGGATGATGATGAGCCATGTGGCAAGGCAGGACGATACAGCTTGAGCTGGCGTGTAATAGGATCCAGCTTGTTGGTTAGAAGCTGCAAGGAAAGGATAAGCTGTACTGCTAATCACGACTGCGTGGAGAAGGAGTACTCAGCAGCAAGCCTGGCTGTGCTAAATGTTTAAAAGGGAGTAGGAGACAAGATTTTTGAAGGAGAAATCGGGCTGCCCCTTAGTACCAGAAGTGCAAGCAGTTTGACCAGAAATAGCTGCAAGCTCTTGATTAAAAGCTAAAACACAAAGAGCTTCTGTAGTCTGAACAGTTATACGTTGTCTGCTGTAGACATCAGTTCTGAGATGGGTCTGTGCAGCACTTGAGAGAGTGATATAATATTGCCACTTGGGAAATGACCTTGGATCTCTCTGCACGCTGCGTAAAGGAACATCCAAAGCCTGGCTGTTCTTTAACGTAACAGACCCCTGAATGTCGCTGGGTTTAGTTTTAGCCCTCCGCTGGGGTGGTGGGAGAGCTGGCGAGGCGGTGAAGCGTTGCCCCGTGGCAGAGTATAGAGGCCTTAGGCCTGGGGTTGCGAAAGGAGCTGTGTCGAACTGCACAAAACATGGTGACATTGGCTTGTTAAAGGGTGCAGCTGCAATCTGCTCCCTCCTGGATCGGCAAAAAAAAGGCCCAGGCAGGCTCCGAAGGACAAGGGGGGGGGGGAATGGGGCGGGAGTAGGTTTGTTCTCCCTCTGAAGTGCTGGCAGTCCCGTAGTGTTTCTGTAAACTCTTTGCAAAACTTCAGGAAGAGCTGTTAGTGCGGTTCACCCTGTGTGGGCTTGTCCTTTGAATTGTAAACAAATGAGGTCTTGCTTAAATGGATTATCTCCATGTGAACACAGGAGTGGGGTTGTGTTGTCCCTGTTATCTGCCTTACTTCTCCAGTGAAGCGTGAGGTATTAGTATGACACCTGAGGGCATGGGATTTTTAAAAATAAACTTCTTTCGCTGCTTGATTTAATACATCAGTATTTCAAATCAATGAGAAACCACAGTCGAGTGATGGGGGAATCTTGGCAGCTGGGAAGCAAATGGATCTTTCCTGGGCTCAGCATCTTTGCTGAGGGCTCTGCCCAGTTAGTACTGGGGGTGTCAGGTGGAGCGGCTCGGGTATTCTAACCCTTCCTGTCTTAAGGGATGGATGTATAATTCAAACAGCCTTGTTTAAAGCTTGCTGGTGCCAATTACATCAGCACTCTGCATATTTTTTTCTCCAGCGGTAGAGAACGATCCCTCTATCCTTTACAGCCGTGATAGTGTGGTTGTGCCTGTGCTGCTCTGCTGGTTCTCATCAGCCAGGTCAGCTCCTGTTCTGGCCTTTAGCCATACTCTTTCTTTGCAGGGACCATCGCTACCGGGACAGCCTGGCCAAGGAAAGAAGATAGGTCATCGAGGCGTTGATGCTTCTGGTGAAACCACCTACAAAAAGGTTTGTTTGTGGGGAGCGGGGAGCGGCAGCTATGTGTAGGTGGCAGGCTGAGAAGTTGGGGCCCAATAGCTACCAATCTGATTTAGATTTTAAGCAGCACCCTTGTACTGCATAATCTTGCAAACAGCAAACCTGGAAGCCTTGATCCATCTCTGCAGCAGCTGGTTGAACTTGTTTGGCAGTATGTAGTGCCTGAGGCGACCCCCCAGAAGTTCTAGGCATGACTGCGTTGTAATATAGGGGACGTTATTGCGGTAATCTGCTGGGAAATGCTTACTGACTGCTCTTTTCTTTCTGCCAGACCACCTCATCCACTCTGAAGGGGGCCATCCAGCTAGGTATTGGATACACTGTTGGCAATCTGAGCTCCAAGCCAGAGAGAGATGTCCTGATGCAGGACTTCTACGTGGTGGAGAGCATTTTTTTCCCAAGGTAAAGGAGAGAGGGCAAACAAAACAAACAAGTTACTACTTTTCCTCTCACTGATTTTTCAAGAGAGCATCTGTCTGTCTTTAGGTCTGGATGTTTTAAGTGTGCATCCATTACATACAAACACAACAACAGGCAGCGTTAGATTCTGCTGTACGCTGGCTTGCGAGGAAGCACAATGTAAGATGCAGTTGGGTTTGTTAGTCTCCTACCTGCTTTTCTGCCTCTCTGTCTAGAATTTCTCCCACAAAATTATACCTCCTTTGAGATGGAAGAAACTCGTTCTGGGAGCTCTTAACTCTGTAAATAAACAAAGCTCATAAAAGCGATATCCTCTGTGTAAATACATTCTACTTGGCAAGTGGTTGTTCCTTGCGCTCTTTGGAAATAAGATTTTGGCAGATAATTTAAAACCTATTTCCCTGTTGTCCTGCCACAGAAGGAAGATACGTTGTTGTTGTTGTTGTTGTTGTTGTTGTTGTTGTTGCTAAGATGTCTTGTTGCAAGGCTCAATTCATGTTAAATATGCAGAAGCCTTGATGTGACTGTACCTACCTGGTGAGTGGTAATACAGAGGCTCATGTCTGTTCTGTGCAGTGAAGGCAGTAATCTCACCCCGGCTCACCATTATGCTGACTTCAGGTTCAAGACCTATGCACCAGTGGCTTTTCGGTACTTCCGAGAACTCTTTGGGATTCGTCCAGATGATTATTTGGTATGGAGATGTTTTTTGATTTCTCTGTCTTTCCTCCTTTATTTGGGATGATCTAGAGCAATATAAGAAATTTGCCCCTAAATCACAGCTATCAGCAATTTTTGCCTAAAAGGGACCGAAAAGGGTTGAGGAATCATTCTGATCCCAGCAAGGAGTGGGAACAGGCTGTGGATTTAGGGACTCTGTTGAGTTTAGGAGGAGATCCCATGATGGTCCCAGCCAGACCAGCACCACTCAGCCCAAGTCTTTATTTGCTGAGAGGCAGCTGCTGGCTTACACTGGAGGGGAGCGAAATGATCTGCATACAGTGTGTGCTGTGTGAGCTACGTGATGGGCTTCCTCCTCTGTTGCTTGTGGTGACAATAACTTACTGTGTTTACAAGCAAAAGGAGTTGTGTTCTGCTGGGTGCAACCCTGTAATGTCCCCTGGGGCTCTGAGGACAAAGATGGGAATTTTTCCTTGTGTACTCACTGGAGAGCTATGCGAGGGTAGTTATGTTAATCATCTTACAAAGACAGACTAAAATACAGCTTGTTCTTGTGCTCAGAAAGCTCCTCAGAGCTGGAAAGGCTGTTTTTAAAATACTTGGTAGTACAAGCTGTTGGGGTTGGAGTACACTGGGGTTGAATTTGGTCCCTTGCATGTATGTGACGTTCTGCTCTTTAGAAAAAGACGTTTGTTGAAGCAGGGAAAGGAACACCGCATCCAAATGAGTGCCTGCCCTCTCCCTTTTCTAATAGCCCTGTCTTTTCTGACTTCAGCTGCAGACAGGGGTAATTGTAGCTGAACACCTACCAGTAGAAACAAATCTGTGCCGTTGCGTGGTTTGACAGCAACAGTGGTCCCCATCTGTGCCATCCAAGATAATGCTCACAGATTTGATGAGTGGTTCAAAACTTGGGTGAGGCAAAGAGCCTGCCTCAACTGCAAAGGTCACGGCTCTGATTTGTTGCTTCTGCTTCCCCTGATTCTCTCTTGCCTGCCACAGCAGCAAATGCCTTTAATTATGCATGAGATAATTAACTTGATAAAGTCCTGGATCATTAATCTGTGCAGGGCTGAAAGCCGTTTTCAGTACCTAATGATGAGCATTTAATTTATTGCTCTGATTATGTCCCCTACCCTACCTCCCTCTCCCCATCTTACCTCTTGCTGTGGCAACTTTGACGTGATACTGCCCCGAACCCACTCGAGCTGGGGGTTGGTACCTTGCTGCAAAGTGCACGTACGTGCTTGCACTTTCTTTTATTTTTTTTTTTCCCTCCTGCTAGGCATGTCCTCATGTGAGGACCTGTTGTTTGCGTACTGATGTCCAGAAATGCCCTCCCAATTCGATTCCCAGTGCCGTACCCCTTACTGGGCTTGCTCAGCGCGGACCCCTCTGTGTGTTGGGACACCTGGCCCAACACTTTTCACGTGTTCCCAGCAGGATTGAGGGGTGAGAGGTGGCTGTAAAAATCCTCCGTAACAGGGGAGCACGAGGCCAGAGGAGGCTGCTGAGAACAGCCAGGCCATTGTGTTCCCTCCAGCACGGTGATAAGTCGTACCCTGAGCAGACTGTCATGTCTCTTAAAATCCCATCTTTCTGTCTGCGCTTGCGGTAATGTGCTGAAAGAAGCCTAAATGTGATACAGGCACAATGGGAAAAGATAAGATGTCGTTATGAAGCCTGGATGTTGCTGACAGCAGATGATTAGCTTGATTCTGAGCAGTTGGGATGCTCTGAACTGTAGTCTTGGTCTCTAATTGTAAATTGTCCGTCAGCTTTGCTGCTTAGACCTAACCTGTAATGAAAATAGGCCTCACCTAAGCTTTGCTACCCCTTAATCTCACAGGGAGGCAGCCTGCCTGCTGGGGAAGGCCCCCAAGGGTGTAGAACTCAATGTGCAATGAGTGGGGGCCAAAACCATCATCTTTTTTTTGTTTTCCTCCCTAGTATTCATTATGCAACGAGCCTCTGATAGAGCTGTCGAACCCTGGTGCCAGCGGCTCCCTCTTCTATGTCACCAGCGACGATGAATTCATCATAAAAACTGTGATGCACAAGGAGGCTGAATTCCTACAGAAGCTCCTTCCTGGCTACTACATGGTGTGTATCACCCAGCACCTTGGACCTGACTTGGGTTTGCTGTGGCAGCTTTTTCTGTCCAAAGCATCACACAGGGCATGTCCTCCACCCGGGTTTCTTGTCCCTGGCACAGGGAGGGCAGGCCACAAAGTTAACAGTGTGTCACGAAGCCAGCCCCAGAAGCACAAATCCTGCCAATTATTTGCAAACTGCGTGGGTAAACTTGAGGCAAGTGACTGTGCCATAGCCTGTAGGCGTGTTCTGGCCTGAAAATGGCTTCTCACCTGTGTTTCTGGGTGTCCTTTTCCCAGCACTAGTTCCTTGTTCTTCGCTTGGCACCGTGCCTCTGCCTCAGCACGGGTTGGAGGATGGCTGTTGACTGCGGTAACACAACCACCTCGGTTTTGTGGGGAAACCACTGCTGTCCCTGGGTATCTCCCACGTCTGCTGTTTTACAGAGTTGCTCTGAAGGCGGTTGCTGGTTGTCCTGCCTCCCGCTGGCTGCAGCACCAAGCTGAAGGTTCCCACTTTGCAGATCCACTGCGCTGCAGATAGTTGTTGCCTCAACCTTGGGGCTAGCAAGGCAATAGACTGAGACCCAGCAGACTTGTACGTGGTGGTGACAAGGAGGAGATCAGAACCAAGCCCGGCATGTAAACCAGGAGCTGCTTCCCTGCATAACTGTGGTGGAGGGTCCAGCCCTAGAGATGAGGGCACCACAGTTCAGTTAGAACCACCCAGGGATTTGTTTGCTGTGGAGATGCTGAGCAGAAGGTGATGGCAGGCGACGTTAATGCTGCCCCATCTGCCTGCATGCTGCAGTGGATTGGATTTACGTGGTCGTACGCTGTTTTTATGAAAATACTTGCCTCGCTCAATATTTACGGGGGAAAATGTGCCAAAGTGAGACAAGGTGTTGGGTGTCTGTGTATAACTGACAACCAGCGACTTGCCTTTGCAAGTGACGGTCGAGTTCCTGGACAGGATGAGCTTTCTTGGAAAGCATCGCCTAACGTATGCAGTAAATCAGGTGGAAGGTTTTGAACGGGAAAGGAGTTGCACTGTTGTCCTGAACTCTGCCGTTGTCCTGGCCAGCAATCAACGAATGAAGGCGCACTTACCTGTCTGGTGCCGAGTTGGGTGCTGCTTGTCGTAGCATCCCAGTGTTTGTGGGTTGCTGTAGTGCCAGCACTTGATCTCTCTGCTGTTCTTGGGAAACCCATCTGGTGCGAAAGGAGTTGGTGGAAAGGAGAAGCAGAGTGGTTTCGTCCTGAGTTACTTTCCAGCTGGGCAAGTGCTGTTTGTGTTCGGTCTTGCCTGTCTCTGTTGCTTTTGGCTGGCACCACGTTGAACAGTGCACCCGCAAAGAGGGCTCGCTCCTGTGCCCAGTTAGGTGAGACGAGGAGGGGCATGAAATTTTAATACAGTCGTGCTTCTGCTGCCTGTCAGAGAATCTGTCAGGTCTGTCCTTTCTTTCGTAGCGGGCAGAGATGTTCTGTTTCCTTCCCAAACTTTCCCAAAGCTGAACAAGCAAATCACGCCTGTCGTGTCATTCCTAATAATACCGCTGCCTAAAAAAAGGACATGATAGCAGAGCAGGATATCCATGCTCTCTCTGGCCAACTGTGTTTTATAAAGCAACTCTGCAAAAGGAGGAAACAATTTATGTTGTTTTCTTAAAAAAATACCCTGTCCCTGGTTTATTCTTGGCCAGAGAACAGCTCTTGATTTCTGACACTTCTGAAGAGATGAAGATAGCTGTTATTTTTAAACCTGAAGTTCCCACTTACTGTGTTTATTTGTCTTACAGTTTGGTTTCCCTTTTTTAGCTGCTGTTGATGGGGAAAGCGGGGAATTTCCAGACTTGGTTATTTGCCCAGAGAGTGCTGAACATCTCATTCCCTGTATTCAAGGCATAATGGTATTTTCAGGTCCTAGAGCCACTGAAATGCGAGAGTCTGTCAGATATGTACAGTAAGATCTCATGTAAAGTTCAGAAAATCCTTAGGTGAAGAACCCCCAGTCTGACTGCTCCGAGATCTGTTAAGATGCTTTGTGTTGAACGCAGTGGGAGTCTTCTGCCGCAATCACCTTTCCCCCTGCTTTTTGCCAACCCTGCTGCAGAACCTGAACCAGAACCCACGGACGCTGCTGCCGAAGTTTTATGGACTGTACTGCGTGCAATCAGGGGGCAAAAACATCCGCGTGGTCGTGATGAACAACATTCTGCCTCGTGTGGTGAAAATGCACCTGAAATTTGACCTGAAAGGCTCGACCTATAAACGCCGGGCATCCAAGAAGGAAAAAGAAAAATCCAGCCCTACGTACAAGGACCTAGACTTCATACAAGACATGCCCGAGGGCCTGATGTTGGATGCAGACACCTTCAGTGCATTGGTGAAAACGTTGCAACGAGACTGTCTGGTAAGGAGGGGACAGCTTGGGGAGCAGGTTAATGAAGTTCTCTGGCTCTCGAGCATGAGGAAGCGCAAACGATTGAGGCCCTTGCTAATCTGCTAATCCCAAAGCAGGATAAATCCCTTCTACTGCCCTTTTCCCTGAAGCGAAGCAGTGGAGTTGTATCTCACAACAGCCTCTGAGGACCAAGGCTGTGTTTCTTTGCCCGGTGCATCAAATTGTGGCACCCTGCTCCACCTGTAGCTGGGGCGAAAGGCATTTTTGCTATGCGGTGTGCAGCAGATGCATGGTACAATGGTGTTATTTGGAAGCCTTCAGCCCTTTGGGTTGATTGTGGGATGGCCAAACTCTATGCAGTCAAGTCCAGAGATGACTGTTGGTTCAGAAATGTTCAGGCTCTGGTGAAGGAGTTGTTAGTGGGAAAGTGGACGGGCTGATCCGTGCTTTGGGATCTGTGCTGTGTTTGAGCTGCTGGCCTGATGTTTTGTCTTTGTTCTTAAACTCAATACTAACCTGTAGGTGTTGGAAAGTTTTAAAATCATGGACTACAGCCTCCTGCTTGGGGTTCATAACATAGACCAGCAAGAACGGGAGCGGCAGTCTGAGGGAGCCCACAGCACGTCGGATGAGAAGCGTCCCGTGGGCCAGAAGGCACTTTACTCCACGGCCATGGAGTCCATCCAGGGTGGGGCTGCCCGGGGGGAGTCCATAGACACGGACGACACGTAGGTGAAAACCTGATTCTCTTGCACTGCTGGGAGGGGCAGAGGCAGGGGCTGGAGCAGTAAATCCCTAGTGAGGCCCGTGTGAACCCTTAGAGGGAGCATCTCTCCGGGGGTTATGGTGCTGCTGCCAGTAAAGCAGCGTGGTGTGAAAGGGGAAAGCTGGGGTGGGAAATATTTCTGTAAGACTCCAGCCTCGTGGTGACCTCTCTTCGTGGGCCAGTCTGTAGGTTGTCAGCTCCTGCAACAGTCCCTGGACATCCAGCCGTGCTCTGGGGAGGAGAAGCTAGCTCGGTTCTAGCTCAGCATCCAAATACTGGAGTGGAAGTAGGGATCAACCTAGGAGCTTGGGGTTGTTCTCCATCACCCCATCTTTGGAGTCCCTGACAGTACCTGAGGCCTTCCCAGCACAGTCAGCAAACAGCAAATGAGTGCTGGAGTAACTGGTGGAGCTGTGGGTTGTGGGGAGTTGCCCAAAACCTGTCCTGTGCTGTGCCTGATCCGTGGCTCCTGAGCTGCAGGTGGCTCCTGGGACTGGCTGGCTCTGCGGACCGAGCTTGCTAACAGATGGTGGAGTTTGCTGTTTGTTGCTGTCTGAAACCAGCTGCTCCAGTTTTGATGGAGGATCAGTCACGGTGGAGCTGGGATAATACTGAGGTGTTTCCATGCTTTCAAGTAGCATCATGAATTGCAGTGGCCTGCCTGGTACCCGCAGGCTTTTGTCGTGTTCTGGTGCTTTGGCAGGATGGATATTACTGTGTGTGGGACTGGAAATGCTCTTGTCCTTAAAGGTTTGCTGCCTTAATAGGCAGACAGCTCACACTGCCCTAATAAATAATCTGATCCCCAGAATAAAATGTCCTGTAGCTAAGAAAAAACAACGTGGTGCTTTCTGGCCCAGGCAGAGCTGGTGCCACATGACACGGGTCCTGTCCTAATAGTTGGCATTTGGTCTATCCCAGCAGGCAGTAACCCCACAGGCACCTTGTGTGAGGTGGCCTGGGTCAGTAGGTGACTTCCCGTGGCTGTGCATTGTGCCTGACCACGTCAGAGCCCTTTCTTCAGCGCTGCTGCCCACCCTGCCGCGGGTCTCGGGGCTGTTACAGCTGCTCTTTTTGCAGCTGCACTTTCTGAGGCTTTGTTTTACCTGCAGGATGGGAGGAATCCCGGCAGTGAATGGCAAAGGAGAGCGACTCCTGCTGCATGTAGGAATAATAGATATCCTTCAGTCGTACAGGTAGGTAACTGCGTTGTCTGTCCTGTAAGTGTGCTAAGATCTATTTTAATGCTGAAGGAAAGCAGGAGGATTTTCCTCTGCTGAAGAGTTTGCTGATGAGTAGGCAAGGCTGCCTAAAGCCGTCTGCCGATGCACGTCAGGGGCTGTGGATTTTTGTCCTGTCCTTACAACACCTGGTGACACGGAGCCATTCTTCTAAGATATAATGAGTTGCTCATAAAGAAGTTTCCCATCTCTGTGCCTAGGATGGGGAGCATATCTCCGGGGATGGGAGGCGATTTTCTGCTCCTCCTTTGCTGTCGGGTTCCCAGGCAGTCCTGACCTGACTGCAGAGATGGTGGTGTGCTCAGCCAGCCTCTCTTGGCTGGAGGAAGGCTACGCTCTGGATGAAGGAGGAATTGTTAGCAGCTCAGTGATCTCTCCTGTGTGGGACAGGAAGAGTACACGCCTGAATCTGTCTCTTTCTTTTTCTCTCCACTTCTCGCCTGGAATTAGGTTCATCAAGAAGCTCGAACATACCTGGAAGGCCCTTGTCCATGACGGGGTGAGTGCCTGCACAGAGGCAGGAATAGTCCAGGCCTCGCCAGGATTCGTTTGTGCTAGTTGGTGCCGATTACTTTGCTATTTATAGCGCCTGAACTGGCACAGTTGAAGCTGATGAAAGGAATAGTTCTTGCCTCTTATGCCTCCACAGCGGTGTAGTGCCACTTATTCCCAAGCAGGTTTTCTTGCTCACTCCACCTCCTCGCATGTTTAGCTGTCGTGCTACCAGCTTTCCTCCTCTGCTCCCATCTGGCATTTTCCTCCTCCCCAGGATACCAGGAGCTGCACGCACAAGGCACGTGCCTTCGTGTCTGTGTTGAGGAGCCCTGGGTTTGCTCTCGTTGGTGATTGACTGGGTTTCCACTTCAGTAAGCTATCTATTCATAAATCTCTTTCAGAGTTTCCCTGCTGTCTTGTCCCCTGCAGCAGCCAGGTGCATGTTTACGAAAGAGCAACCTTGGATATGGAAACTATTTTTCAGCATTGCACACCCTCGCTTCCCTGAAATAACAAGGCAAAGGAAATGTGTAGATGCCAAGTTGTGGCAGCACAGTCAAACATCAGAAGCAGAGACAGCTTCGGGTTTACTATTTTAAACAAAAAGTGCAAAACGTCTGAAATTGTCTGGAGACCCTTGGCTGAATTTTCATGCCCCTGTTGTATGCAAAGGTATCCAGGTGTGCTTTGAATGTCAGCCAGCAAAGCCAGAAGAAGTTTCATGTGTGTAGTCAGGGCAATATTTGAAGAATCCAGGAAGTCTACAAAGGAATAAAATCACCAAAATCCAAGATAAAATTACAGCAAGAATATAATCAAATGCAATCAAGTCAAAGCAGTGCTTCAGGCTTATTTTTAGCGTTAATCAGATCATTTCAGTTAAGCCTTTCCATTTTAAGGCTCTATCAGTGCTAAATGTTGGAATAAAAAAAGTCTGCATTGGCTGTTACAGCCATGCTGCCTTGAGGGATAATTTTAAAATTAAACAATTGCGTCTTGCCTTTGTAGGACACGGTGTCAGTACACAGACCCAGCTTTTATGCAGAGAGATTCTTCAAATTCATGACCAACACGGTGTTTCGAAAGAATTCCTGTAAGTACCTAGTCCAAGAGCTGTTGCCCTTGTGATGCGAGGCAAGCCTTATCTCAGTCTTGCTGCTTCAGTCTGCACGGAGAGTTTCTGGGCTGGAGTCTGAGCAGGCTTCTCCACTGTAATGTAGAGCAAAGCTGGGGAACTGCAAAGCCCTCAGGTTGTCACAGCTTGCTTTGATCTGCTCAGACTCCCACCCAGGAGCTCTCCCTGCAGCCTGCCTCAGGCCTCAGCCCTTTGGAGATGGCACTCGCAGAGCACGTGGGGCGGGGGGGGACGGAGGGCAGAGGCCTCTCCCTGTGAAGGGGGAAGTGCCTTTGCCATGACAGTAGTTGGTGGTGATAATTTCATCTTCTCCTTTGCTCTTCTCATCCAGCTCTGAAGTCCTCTCCCTCAAAGAAAGGGCGTAGTGCCTTGCTAGCTGTCAAGACAGTTGGTCCAACAGCTGCATTTTCAGCTAGCCAGCTTCCCTCGGAAAAGGACGAAACCCAGTACGACCTTCGTGCGGCCAGGAGTTACCCCACACTTGACGATGAAGGTAATGGTCTCGTTTGGGGGCTGATGGCTGCGTGATTACCCTCTCTTTCCTAGCAGTTCCTGAAGATCCTCCCCTGTTCTCATCAAGTTCCCCACCGTGCACGGACCACGTGTCTTCCTTGATGGATAGCACTTGATTGCGTGGCTTGCTGGGCTTTGCAGGTGCTAAACTTGACCAGGACAGGGGAGAAGGTAAGAGTATATTGTTTTGTCACAGCAGCAGCGGTGAGTTGATTGGGGAAGCAACGCCTCTGCAGCAAAGAAGACCGAATCCTTTCTCTGCAGCACTGCATGGTTCTGCAGTAAACATGGTCGCTTGCATCCCTGCTGCAAGGCATCCGCTGCCAACTGGCACCAGCAATTATAGCCCAAAAGCGATCAGAAAGTTGAATTTTCCACCTGGAAAAAAGAAAAAGGGAGGGAGATGGGGGACAGGGAACTGCAGGACTCCGAGGACAGTGTTTGGACAGTTAAAAGGGGCAAGATCTTGCCACTGAAAAAAAGAGACGAGTGGCCTGGTGCTGGGCTGCCTCTTCATCGCTTCCATCTGGGCTGGATTTACAGATGAGTGGTGAAGGACAGGCTCCTCGAGTGCATAGGTGTTAGATTTCTACCCTGCAAAGCACCGAGCACTCGATTCATCTCTTAATTCACTTGGATATTTATCTATGGCGATCCAAGCCTTTAATCCAGCTTTTGTTACCAGTGAGATCTCTTCACTGGCATTGTTTCCTGTAACATCTGTCTGTCGTGCTGGAAACGGTGCTTACTGGCTCTCTCTAGAGGATGCCTTGGGAGAAGCTGTTCAGTTCATGAACCCAACTAAACTTGCCTGTTTGTGGTTTTAAGTGACCAGTCCCAGTGAGGGTGTGCAAGTTGATGGTGGAACAGCCTTACACAGGGCTGGTGTAGGCAAGGTGTTGGGGTTGGACCTACTCATCTTTTTTCTTCCTGCATCTCTCCTGCCCTGCACGCCGGGCCAGCAGGCAGGCCAGACCTGCTACCCTGCACACCTCCTTCCTTTGAAGAAGCTACCACGGCCTCCATAGCCACGACGCTGTCTTCAACATCTCTTTCTGTTCCTGAGCGATCCCCTTCGGAGACCTCTGAGCAGCCCAGGTACAGGTGAGGACAGCACTCATCCCCTGCTCCCACTGGAGCCAAGCGGCTGCCGTTCCTCTTCGCGCTGCAGATCTCAGCAGGTTGCCCTATGCTCTGGAATGCTAATGACCGATTTTAATTAAATCTCTCCTGGGAGCAAGCAGACTCAGCTTTGATGGGATTAATTATTGCTGCGAGAAGTGTCAGCTATTAAGTAGAACATCTCCCTCATGGGGTGGGAAGTTAGATTTGGGGGCAGTTAGGATTTCTGTCTTAAATCACTCCTCAAACTCTGCTGTTCTGTTTCTTTCTGCAGGAGGCGCACACACTCCTCAGGGCAGGATGGCAGGTGAGAAGTGTCCCATGTCTTGTGCTGCTGCACGGAGACCTTGCATTTGTCCCTCTGCCAAGGTCTCTTGGAGAGCTGGATGTGAATCTTGGCAGCCCCAGGATTTTGTCATGGCCCTCTGCAGGATGATGAGCTGCTTCCTGCAATCAAGTGATCCCCATTTCTTACACAGAATTTTCCTTACAAGCAGGTCTCTCGGGGCTTTGCAAGGAATCTTAAATATTACCCTGTTATTTGATGGGAAAGGCAACAACTGAGTTGTCCAAATTTACCCAACCAACCAGCACCAGACTCAAGAAGGTCACTTATGTCCCCCTCTGGCTACACAAGCCTTAACAGCAGGAACGTTCCCCCTCTGTGCCTCTGCCTGGGTGCAGTGGGGGTGAATGTGGGAAGGGGCTTGGGCTCTGTGAGGCGCTGAGCACCCCTCGTCCCCAGAGAAGCAGCTTCCCGTGTTTTCAGAAACTCAGGTACTTTGAGGGCTTTTTCCCCTCCTGTGGTGGTAGGTGGCTCAGAGCCAAGGGCAAGGCAGGACAAAAGTCCCCTGCTGCATAGGGATGTCTGGATTTAGAGGCTCATGGTGTATAATTATCTTGCATATTTTTGCACCAGTAAAAATGACCCCGTTGCCTGTGTCAGCGGGATCTGCATGAGGAGCCTGTGTCTGCTGCTGACTCTGCCCAAGCTTTCCGGACGTCTTGTGAGTGTGGTAGGCGCAGACTTTGGAATGCGCATCAGAGACTCGGTGTTGGGATCTGCCGTGGCCAGAGGAGCTGCTGGACAGGCTCCTGTCCACTGTCCCTGCAGTCAGTGTTTGGTGCTTCAGAGGAAGGCAAGGACTTTGGAAGATGAGGGTTTGCACCATCTTACAGACCTCTCCCCTCGTTCCTGGCTTTTTAGTGATTTGCTGAGCTTCAGACCACATACGCTGTGGGAAAAAAAAAATCCCTTTCTGTGGTATTTCTTAACGAAAATACCTCTGGATGCTGCATGTTGCTGAATCTCAGTAAATTCCTGACACTGGAGGGCAAGGACCTACTTGCTGTTGATTTGCAGAACCTGTTGAAGTGTCAGGGACCTGCAAAGCACCTCACCTCCTGCAGAATCCGTTGTCTGAAATGGCTGAAAATTGGAGACAAACGCGGGCACAGGTGGTGGGACCCATTTGGCAAAATGCAGTGACTTCACCTGAGTTCTTCCAGACCCCTTGGTACCTAATGGGGGGAGTTGCTGTAGGATGTGACTGCTCACCAGAAATAGGTCAGGTGAATTGAAGTGACTGTCCCTGGCCCGTACAGGGAGCTTAGTGTCTCGATCAGAAGTAGATCTGTCTGTCACAGATTTGCCACAGCTACAACCACCCCACACAAGTGTGGCCACCTTTGCTGGTTTTTTGCTTAGTTTCTCCATTTCTGGTGCTGGTGTCTCAGCGTGCCCTTTCTAGGGGAGCAGGGACCTGTGTATTTGTAGAGCACTCTGCGATCCCCTGGTGAAAGCCAGTGCAAGAGCAAAGTTATTAAAGCGTGACTTTTACATTCCTGAGATGAAATGAAAAAGACTTTATCCAATTTGCTCAAGAACGTGTCACACCTCTGATTATTCTAATCTGCTGGGGAATTCCCTCTGGGGTTCTGAGATCCACCTCTTCGAGGAAGAGGAGCAAGTTTTCCAGCACCGAGCTGGATGGGAGTGCCGCCTGCTGGCTCCAGCTCCCAGCCAGCCATGGCACAGAGCGGGATGAACCCAGAGCTCGTCCGTTCCCTGAGCCTGTGCCCTCGGCTTGGCAAGCACCTGCTCCTCCTTCCCATGAGGACGGTGGAGGCAGCCCTGCCAGCACAAGCAATTACTTTAAGAGCGTGAGGGGTGAAATGGAAGACGGTCACAAACAGCTCCTGAGTGTGTGGATAAATCTGATATCGACCCTGGAGGGCGCTTGAGCAGCTTTGGTGCGCTGGGAGTCACGGAAGAGGCTGGAGGCTTTGGCCCTTGTGCAGTTGGTAGACAATGCCAGGCTAACTCTAGACCCAGGTTTTCCTTGGAGGCCAATTCTCCTCTTTCCTCCCGTGCTCCATTTGATGCTGCCCATCTTTTCTGCGGCACCGGCTAGTTAATCCCATCCTCCTTGTCCTCTTTTCCCACCTCATTAGTCTTGAGCACTGCAGTCTGACAGGACTGGCTCTTTTGCCTGGGAGTTTTGGTTACCCAGATCCTCAATCCTGGGAGGTCTGACGACTCCCTCTGAGCCAAAATCAACAGCTCAATCTGCACCAGGAGCTTGGTGCTGCAACTGGCTGGCAGCAGGCAGTGTCACGCTGGGGCAGACCGGCACAGCTCGCTCCTGTGGGAGGCTGCGGCACGAGAGGCTGGGCTGACTTGGGACTGGCTGAGGCTGACCTAAAATTGAGGACTTGTACGTAACTAGTGCCCAGCTGAGCCAGTGGGCCTGTCTGTCTTCGGTTTCCAGGTCACACGAGGAGGTGCGGGTTGAGGAGGAGCTTCAGCAGATCAGCGTCGAGCTGGAGCCCAAGTGTGACGTTGAGATCGTCGCTCCCGAAGAAGATGACAAAGAGTGAGTGTTGCAGAGCATTGGGCAGCTTTGCGGAGCCCTACCCGGTGTCATTTGGTCTGTGGCCACTCGTGCTGGAGGCTGACTTGGTGGGGCACCGGCTTCCCTGGAGCGATGGGTGCTCCCCCAGGCAGTTCAGTGAAGCTGAGCACTGTTACTTCTGACCTGACCTGATCTTTCTGGATGTGACAGTGGCGCATCTTCAGCTCCTCTGTGATAAATCATACAGTCTTGCTTGCTCCTTTTCTGATTGCAGTGACCAGACTCTGTCATTTCTTCTCCCCTCCAGAGAGGCGGCTTCTTCAGCCTGTGCCATTGTAACATCCACAGCTACCATCGAGGGGGAGACAGCCAGCCAGGCAGCCAGCCAGGCCTCGGATGAAGATGACGTGCCAGTCACAGACATATACTTTGTAAGATACATTCTCCGCCTGCCCTGTTAGTGGATGTGATGGGAAAGGCTGGACAAGGCTGGACCAGCCTCGATTTCAGGCAGTCGGGTGCAGGGCAGTGTCTGCCCCGTGCCATCTCCGTGTTGGGCACCGAGAGATCTTAACTCTGGATGGGTTTTTGAATGCAGGGAACTGGATTAACCGTTTGAGAACTCAAAGCAGCATCTAGCGGGGCTCAAACGGGTGGCAGTGCTGCTGTGGGTGTAGCTGTAGGTGTGCTGCTCTACTTCCAAGTGCTGAAGGGCTTATCTAGGCCAGCGTGTTCACTCCCGGGAGAAGCCAAGGTGAACGTAGGTGCAACAGAGAGGTTCTTCCTTCCCTCAGCCAGAGAGCCCGGCTGCTTCCTTGGACACAAACGAGCAGCAGTGGCGTAGAGCCAGAAGGGAGGTGGTTGCAGTGGGGCTGACCTCGGGCTCTGGTGAACTCTGGCTTTTCCTTTCCCTGCAGGCAGATGCATTAGGTGATGCAGTGGAAATCTAGTGCCGAGACAGGGAGTAAGTGAGGTGTTTGCTGGTTGGCAGCAGAGTGCTGTGGAGCCTGGCGCTGTGTTCCTCAGGCAGCTCTCGCGATGTCTGAGCAGCTTCTGCAGACCCGAGGAAAGTTTTTAGCAACGTGTACCTGCCCTGTGGATTCCCAGAGCAGAGCTGAGGGTCTGACCCATGAAAGCCTGGCCAGTGGGAACTTCTCGTTAAGGGAGGTGCCCAGCTCCCTGCTCCAGCTCGTTGCTGTCGGTCATACGGCGATGGAGATGAGCTGAGCCCTTGTGATGAGCTCCTTCAGGCTACCCTAAAAATGGCAACGTTTGCCTTTCCCTGTGCTGGCGTGACTCTGCTGCAGAGCTGCTCACTCGTTGCCAAGTCATTCTGAGGCTCGTGGGAGCTGTGGAAGGAGTCAGCTCCATTTTAAAAGCTTGTCTGTTTGGGTTTTTGTGCATGCTGTTCAAAATGCAAACAGCTCCCTCTAACACTGGCTGCTCTTTCTTTGCCTGTGGATGGCAGCTGTGCGCAAGCTGCCTGCAGATACTGCCTGCTCCACTGGCAAGTGTCTTCTAGCAAGGGTCAGCTCCTCTTCCTCCCTGTCCCTGGGCATATGGACTCCCCGCAACTTGAGGGGCACCCCTCTGTATGGAGGAAGCCATCTGTGTGCAGTGTGCGCTCACAGAGAGCGTGACTGACTGCTCATCAGCATTTCATACCTCATCTGAGTCCTTGAGTTTTGCATTAACTGTGTGTCGTGTGCTGTGGAGTGTTTGTCACTGTTGGGATGAAGGGAAAAGCTGATTTGGGTTCCCACGGGCGCTCTCCTTGGAAAACCGCTTGAGCTGGAGCTCGAGTGAGGCTGCACCAGAGGACAGCGGGGCTTGGAGCACAGCTGCTTTCTCGCAGGGGTGCTCCAGGGGCAGTGGTCGGCGAAGGGATGCTGTGTGCGGAGGATGACTGGTCAAGTCGCAGGGGACTGTGATCTGATCTCTGGAAGTCTGCTCCTGAGCGGAGAGCGCTTTATCCTCCTGTTCACCCACAGGGGAATAAAAGCGCAGAGACTCTGGCATGGCATGGGCACCTCTCTTCCCACGCACGGCTTGCCTGCCTGCTGATCCGTTCAGGCCTGGAGTTGCCCAACCCCTTGGTTTTTTGCTTTCTCTTTCATCCTCTCTTTCACATCATCCTTTTTTTTTTTTTTCCTCTGTTTCCTTTCTCACTTCACTTGCTCTGGGGCCATCCAGTTCACAGATGGGAGGTACTGGATTTACTCTCCCCGCCAGCGCAGACTCCGAACCACCTCGCTTTCCTCTGGGATTGTAAGTGAACATGCTAGCGCGTAGGGGAGCAGAGCTGCAGCTTTGAAACACTGGGGCCAGCCCTCCCTTTCCCTTGGATGCTGTGGCTCTGTACTGTGTGGCCATTAGGAGCCAGCCCAGCAGAAAGCAGGGAAGCATATCGAAATCACCCAAATGGATCTCCCTGTAGGATCTTGCGGAAACACGTGCCCTGCCCCGCTTTGGACAAACTTGCAAGTACCAGACCTGGCCAGAGAGGCACGTGGGTCTTTGTAGGTAATGTTCAGCTCAACTCCCTCGGCCCAGGAAGCCAGGTGGGGTTCCAAAGAGACCAGTAAGATGTTTTGAAGCTGCTAAAAATCCAGTTGCAAATATAACCTTTTAGGCTCGTGTCTTTCTGGTGGCTGGGTTGGTGAGCAGCTCATAAAGCCAAGTGAGTTACGAGCTGCTGCTGGGTTAGGGGTGGTTTCTGCTGTCCAGCCCTTCTCAGCATGACCGGCGTGCTCCCTCCTCACTGCAGGTTTTCTGTAAGTGGTGAGAGTTTTCCTTTCTAAAAGATGCAGGGAGGCAGTTGAGCATTTAGGGGCTGGATCCAGACCTCGGACTGCTCTGGGTTTAGTATTTCCATTCTCAGGCTTCGGGAGAGCTGATGTCCTCAGAGGGTAGCGGCAGTGCTGCCGGAACCTCGGCACAAGCATTCGTACAGCGTGGCCCTCCCAGTGCCTGCCTTTTTGCTACCAGGCAGGGAAGCAGTGGGCAGGGTGCATGGGGAAGCAGGGACAGTAACGTGCTCCTGGCCTTGGCTGATGGCATGAGGAAAGTGCTGCACCTACGTGAGCAAACGGGCCACCCCCTCCTGCCCCCTCGGCTTTTGGCTGCCCCAGCACCGGGAGGGTTAATACCAAGCACCGGATGCCCCTTTATCTCCTGGCTGGGTTTCCAGCTCCCTGCATGCGTCTGAGCTCCTCCAAGGCTCTGAAAGAGGCTGGAGCATGCGGTTGAGTCAGGATGGGTGAAAAACAGGATGTGGGGCAGGCTTGATGCAGCGTTGAGCCTTCCAGCACGTCTGGCAGAGCCCTGTAAGAAGCTCCAGGCGAGGGTTTCTCTCCCCTCCTTCCTCCCAGTGGTCTCTGGTAGCTGCAATTATTGGTGGGGTTCAGCATGTGGAGCCCAGTGCTTCAAAGCTCCTCTGGCTTCTTGTAGTTTCTGGTGCATTGTAGACTGTCACACTTGGTTCCCGAGCTGGGACACACCCCCCCAGGCTTCTTCCAAGTACCCAGTTCCATTTCTCTTCCTTTGCAAAGCCCAGGCTGAGTCAAAGGGGGCAGTTTCCTCTCTCTGGAAGCATCTCTGGAGCCAAAATTGCCCATTTGCAGTGCAAGTGGGTCCCCCCTGGCAACACTGGAAGCAGACACCAGCCCTTGAACCTGCCTGGGCTTCTCGGTGCTGTCGGCAGCAGAAGTGCTTTTTGTCACACCGGTGCCCAGTGCTGCGATAACCGGCTCCCACGACGCACATCCCCTTCCCCCTCATGCTTTCCACGATCCAGTTGTGTTTTGCCTCTCTTGTCGTACTTGTTCCCATCACCCCACTGTCTCCAAGACTCACAGCGATCGTTGTTTCCTCTCTGTGACCACCATCCACCACGGTCTAACCTGCCCATCTGCTGCCTTGCTTGGCCTGCAGGGAAGGGGGAAGGCACAGCAAAACCAGGTCAGGTTTCACTGCAAAGCCCCTCCTGAACAGCAGAGATGCCAGCTTGTAGCATGCCCAAGGCTCAGGACACGGGAGGTTGAGAGCTGGGAGTGGGTAGCAGAAACAGAGAGCTCTGTCACCGTCCTTAGGTCAGTCACTTCCCATGTCTCTCGGTTTCTCTGGAGCCGGGATGATGCTATGGCAGGGAGCTGAGGTTTCCCTGGCACCTCAAAAGCTCTCAAAGTCTGTCCCTGCAAGAGGAAAGGTGGTGCCATTCCCACTGCAGCTGGAGCAGGGTCCAGTGTCAGCTGCTGGCAGGCTGTCCCACTTCCCAGCTGGTAGGGAGCGGGTATGTACTGAGGATGAGGAAGGCTCCTCTGCTGAGAGCTGGCACCAAGCTCAGTTCTCTCCCTCCAGGTGGAGAGCTGTTCTTACTGTATTGTTTCCTGCTCTTTTTATTTTCTCCTTTTATTTTTTCCTCTTCTCTCCTTTGCTCCCTGCTCTGCTGCTGCTCTCCTTGCACTCTCCCCACCGTCTCTGGCCACTCTGGCAGCCGACAGACGAGAGGAGTTGGGTTTACTCCCCGCTCCACTATAGCGCTCAGCTCCACTCTGTCTCCGATGAGGAGAGCGATACAGTAAGTGTACAAGAAAGAAACGTGTGCCGGGTGCCCGGTGGGTCGAGGCCAGAGCTTGCGCTCCCGCTGCACGGTCAGCTTGCGGGGGGAGCCCCCGCGGCCCCTGGGCAGCGCGGGGCTCCTGCACGGCTGCGGCAGAGCCCTGCCGCCTCGCGGGGCAGCTCTGTGCTCAGCGAGGTCTGCGCTGGCGGAGACCCGGGTCTGCCTGGCGAGGGCTGTGACTTGTCCCCAGTTGTTTGGTGCACCGAAAGCTTCGGGGAGCTGAAGTTCTCCAGTCGGGTTGTCGTTGCTGGAGGGTGTGAAACAGCCTTCTCTCTTCAGGCCTGCGTCGAGCCGGGGGAGTTGGCTGGGCTCAGCCCCAACTGGCCGCAGGGCGGACGCTGGGTGTTGACTCTCTTCTCTCTGCCTCTTGCAGTAATCTCTATGCAGACACAGAAGCCCCAGAGAGCAGCGATTCCCTCTGCAGGTCGATGTGTTCCCTTTTCGTTGATGCAGCCGTTCCAGTGGGATGGGGAAGAGCTCGCTGACACCAGTATTGCTGCACTGCAGGATCCCGGGCACTGCATTTCAGAACGGAGCAAAACTATAACCGTGTATTTCTACTTATCCCAGACGTGGGCAGCAAAGACACCACCCGCTCACCCGCAGCTCCCAACGGAGACATCCAGCTGGGTGTAGAGAATCCTGGGTAGTAACACAGTGTTTTCCAGACGTGCACTACCGTAGCTACCTATCCATGTGTGATACTGTGAACCTTTTTAATTTTTTAATCATGTATTTATTTCTTTTATCTTTGCACAGAGACAGCACAAATGTGCTTTTTTAAACATTTAGTTTACTGCACTTTTTTTTTTTTTTTTGGTTGTTGTCATATATTTGTGCATCAGAAAGGAGTGTGAGACCTCACTGGAGAATTGGTAGGAGCACGTTGCTGGGGAGGGCAGGGACCGGGGTGGCTTCATTTGAGGCAGCAGCGTGGTCTAACCAACTGATGGAGTCAGGAGGTTTAAGGCTGTCCAGACTCTGCCACGGTTTTGCCGAGTGACCCAAGGCAAGTCACTTAACCACTCTGTGCCTCGGTTTCCCCCGTGCTAATGGGTGCACTGTGCCCACTTCCGTTAAAGCACTTAAACCCTGGGATGAAAGGTGCTATGTAAATGCAATGTATTAAAGGCCATTGAATAGAATTGCTCCCACGTTACAGTAGTCCCAAGTAGCCATGCCCATTTACTTGGATTCCAAAATTGCCAGTGACTTCTCTCGGGCTGTTAACACTGTGCGGGGGAAGCAGACGATTCCTGGCGACAGCGACACGGTCACCTCGGCTCCTCCGGACGTTGCGACGGGCTCTGCCTTCGCCGTGCGCTGCACCGCTGCGTCACCCTGTCCCTCTGTGCTTGGAGCCCACGCTTCGCCGTCCTGCCGGCCGCTGCTGCGCCGCCTGCTGGTCGGCAACAATGGCCCCTGGAGTGAGCAGCCACGCTGGAGGGCAAGTTCCCCGCTCTGCCCGGCCCCAGGAGGGGCTCGTCCGGACGCCGCGTCCCACGGGAGCCACTCAGCACCTCGCATGCTCATGGGTGTATCCAACCGCCCGGGACTCGGGGGGTCACGAACGTTGGGTTCACACGTTTCGTCCGTACCTCAGGGCAGTCAGGGAGGCACGTGCACCTCCGCACCCGCTGGAGGCAGAAACAAGCCTGGCTCTGCCACCGAACTGTGCCAGGCGGTCTTGTGTTCACGGACTCTGTTGGACAGAAAGCTGGGTGACTGGGGTGTTGCCTGTGGTAACATCTGCTCTTGGAAATCACTGCTTCGGATGTCTGCGTTGGCTTTTCGAGGGCTGCAGGCTGTAAGGGAGAGGATTTGGTGTCACTGGGTGGTGTTCAGACTAGGCTCATCCATCTGTCAGCAGGACACGCACCGTAGCATTGTCTTGAACTCTAGCAATCCCCTCCTCATCTCCCAGAGAGAAGAAAGGAAATCCTTTAGACCAGAGGGAGCCAGGTCTTACTCATGTGCTTTAGGAGCGTGAGGAGGAGTGTCAAAATCTCTCTATTCTCATTGCAATCTGCAGCCTGTCTTTGGGATTGCTTGTAGAGGAGTGAGGGAGCAGGACCCTTCTCTCGGGGCTCAGTCCTCCCAATCTGTCTTCACAGCAGCACTCAGGATGGGTTAATTCAGGTCCCAGCAGGTAACTGGGCTGGTAGGAAGCTCTTCCCTGCTGCCATGTGCTGAACTGGGTGAGGAACATCATGAATTGACGTTTTCTTGCCTAGAAGTGCGGGACCCAGACTTCCCCCCCTTGCCTGCAGCTGCAGAAGGCTGGAAGGTGTGCTTCTCTGGAGAGCACAAGCTGGGGCTCTTGCAAGCTGCTGCCGTTAGAAATATTAGTATATTTACCAAATAATCTATCAAAAGTCTTTCAAGAAACTCTCCCCTTTCAGTTCACCCAGCTGGCAGCATTGCTCCATGCCAGCCCCTGCAGGAGGCTGGGAAATGGCTCCCAACCCGCCCCATCTGCCTGTGCCGGTCCTGCCCGGGCTCTGCGTGGGCCGTGCTAGGGGGGGCTCAGTGGTTTGGTGGAGGGGAGATGGGAGGAGTGCAATACCCTCGGCTGAAAGCAAGAGGCTTCAAAATACTAAAAATTCAGCCTTCCGGGGTTTTTTTTCCCCTCTAGAAGCATGATGACATGCATGGAGAGGCCAGAGGGAGCCACATCCCTTCTGCATCTTCAGGTGTTGCTCTTGGGTGCTGAGCTGGAGGAATGTAGCTCTGGAGGGGGGGAAGCAGGAGGTTGGGTTTGGGCTGACCCACAGCCCAGCTGCCCCGGTGCCACCTTGTTCATGGGCGGGGGGGTTTAGCCGCATCGGGACTTTCCAGCCACCTGCAATCAAGCATCTTCTTTAAGATGGTTTAAGCATCATTGATGGAGACTTTACTCCTTCCCCTCATTTTGGGGGGTGCTAAAGCTGCTTAGCCTCTGTGCAGGGAGCATCTGAGCTCCACCTTCATGGAGCGTCTCGGTGAATGACCTTTGCAAGCTGCAGCTGTGCTTGGTCCCAGGAGATGTGGGGAAACCCAGACCTTGTGCAGCACCTTCATTCCAAGCATCGTCTTTCCTCAAGCGTTCGGGCTTCTTGAGGCAATCTTTGTGCAGTTCTGTAACGCTGAACCTTTGGAGAAGGTCTGGGCACGGAGGGTTGGTCCTGTGAGAGGGTGTGCAAAGGCCTTAGAGCAACTTTGTCAACGTGAAGGGACAGGAGTGACCTTCCTTTAGGGAAATGCTGATCTGAAACAGAAGCTGCCCCTTTCCAGGCTTGCACACACTCCCTGCTGCGTGTCACCTACTGTCCCCTTACCTCGGTGCTGGAGATCTTAGCCTCTGCTTCCCACAGAGGCTAAAAGGACCTTGGAGTTTGAAGCTTGGCCCTCTGCCCTGCACTGCAGCGTGACAGCGTCGGGGAGCTCGGGAGCGTTTCCCAAGCGCTGTCAGCGCTGCCTTTGCAGGACGTGCAGTCAGAGGAGGGCAGGACTAGGTCTTGTCCACAGGAAACAGCATTGGCCCTTTTTTGGGGAAGAGAACCACCCCCCATCCTTGGTCTGGGTGTCCCTCCAGCTGTACTTCCAGCTCACCCGAGACAGGGGTTGCCTGTACTTTCTGTCAGGGCTTTCTCTAGCGACCCAGCAGCTCGCCGGCAGGTGCTGTCCCTGGTGTAACCCCCTCGCTCTCTCCAGCAGTAGAAGGAGGCGGCGTGTTTTCTTTTCCCCCAAGATTTGAGCAGAGCAGCCCTGCAAGACGGCTGGGTCCCACATAGCTCTGTCTGCCACCGCTCTCCTTCCTCCCCATCACCCCTGCCGGCACCCTCAGCCCTGCGGGACGTGCCCCAAACAGTGCCTGGTGCTGAGGCCGCTGGTGAGTTTTTGGCTTGGGCTCTTGCCAAACTTCAGGTGCTGCTGCCTGCCAGGTAGGGGTTTGGCAAGAGAAAACGGGCATCTCTCCATGCTTGCCATCAGGCTCCTACGAAAGCTCTGCCCTTCGCAGGCACAGGTAGAGCAGAGGCGTGGGGCAAACTGAGGAGCTGGGGTAGAGCCCTGGGTGCTCGTCCAAGGGATCTGGCTTTTGGCTGCTGTGAGTGGTGAGTGGCTCAGCCGTAGGTGCCGAAATTGCACTTTGGGAAGTTTTTTAGAGAAGCCGGAGCGCTTGTAGGTTTTGGCACAGGGCTGGCCCAGGTTCCATCACCCCAGGTCCTCGCTGGGCTCCCAAAGCACGGCGCAGCCCCGTCCATTCCCCGTCTCTCCTTCCCGGACACTGTCCGGCTCCGGCTCTTTCCGAAAAGGACAAGGCGAAAGCCACGGCTCAGGCGTACCAGATTGTGTCTGATTTTTCTTTCTGTTGATGTCTACATTAGACCCAAGTATGTTCTATCGGATGTTCATATTCCCACTCATTTTCTGTGTCCGCTCTGTGCGTGCACCATGTAACGAATGTATGTAAGTAGGGGGGCGTGGGCGGCCAAAATGTGATGCCAACCCGTGGGTGTTGTCCTGTTTCTCTTCTTTTTGGGGGGCGGAGGGGATGGGGTGGGGTGGTAAGTCATGGGCGCTTTCTTTTTCTTGGTTGTTTCGAGGGTTTTTTTTCCCCCTCCCTCTTCGGGGAGACCTTTTTTTTCCAGAGAACTGTAAATTGATGCTATCTGTCCTCGGCTCTGTGATAAAGCAACCTGTAGTCTGTGCTGTGCTCACCGGCCTCCGCCTCGTCTCTCCTGCGCTCGCTAAACCCCGG